TTTTTTTCCGTTTCTTCCATCATTCTTGCACCAGTACGACCTCTGCTTGTTTATAGGATTTTTAGATAAGTTGTGCGTTTTTGATTTAAAGAAAATTTTAAGAAAAAACTGTAACATTATTTCGTTACCTGGTATTATAGGGTTCTTTTTTGAACGAAAATATGGAACGCATGATGTACACGGTATCGAAGATGATGCTGACGAATTGATGTGGCGAAATGTTAGCATTAAGGGAGCCTATGTAAGTTCCCCGTTTTGAATGATTTTTTTGCTCCATAAGATTTTGTTTTCTCAATATCACTAAAATTTTCTCAATATCTGGTCCGTGAAAAAGGCAAGATTCGGGGCAAACTGGCGACTCCTAATAAATACCAAGAATCTTCCAAAATCGTAAAATCCTTCCGAAAAAACCGGCTGAGCTGGTAATCCCTTCAGGAGAAAAAACGACAGCAATTTGATTGTCAACGATCAAAATAAAACTGTTAGAGCTATGTTGAAGTGTGTCCCACTTTTTATCTAGTGTGCCTAAGCATTTTGCAGCATAATGCATAAATTTTTGACGGAAAATTTTCAGTATCGTTTTGTAGATACGGCCACAAATGACCGATGCTTCGGCACGGATAGTGCGAACAAATCAGATTGTTGTTGCTGCTGGTGCATGGTCTGGCCGAATTGCTGAAATGGCAAGAGTCGGTGAGCCGGTTTTTTAAAAATTACTGAATCAAAGCACAACACATTGTCGAGTTACTGCTATCTGCAGTTCTTGCCTCGAACTCCTGACTAGTACCCTTGTTCTCCTTCTCTTATACTATTTCCAGCTCGTACTCCTTGAGCTGTATGTGGGCACCTACCAACCAACACCCTCCAACCACGTCCATCTCCCCTATCTGCTCCCCCCCACCCGCTTGCTTGTTTGCCTCTTCCCATTCTTCACTTGTTTTTTTGGTTTATCTAATGACGATTGCGTGTTCAGCCCAATGAATTAGTTAAATTCGGCTCTTCAGCTCTATAAGTCCTATTAGCAGCAAGCTGAATTTAAGTAAAAAAATTCTGGTTCACTCGGCCTTCAGCTATTGTGCAGCATAAGTTAATTCATAACTTAGTTTTTAGCTATGTAGTTGTTGACAGCTTTTCCGAATAGATTGCCCATCTGTTGCATTCTTTGGCAGCCAGCCAGCTTGCGCTGTTGTATCGATTTTCCAAAATTCCCTCATTTTTTTTTTTTCAAGATGAAGTAGTTGGACGATTTGGCACTTGACCAATTTAAGTTCGGTTCATCGTAACCAAAATTTTTTTTTTTTGCAAAAATTTCGCATTTTCAGGGAAGGGACGTGATTTGTTAGCAGTTGAGCTGCCCGTCCGTGCACGAAAACGCATGGTATTCGTTGTGCATGCCCCAGATGTTCCAGCTTTAGATATGCCTGCACTTTTTGATCCATCCGGTGTTTATTGTTTGATGGAAGAAGTTGGCAATACGTTCATTTGTGGAAAAATCCCAAGCAAGGTAGAAATGTAAATCGAATTTTTAGTGAAAATATCAAGAATCAAGGGCAAGAGGGAATAGCTTCCCAAATTTTCCCCATTTCTGGCTCTCTTGATACATACTGCGTTTTCTGTGCAATATGTTTGTTCAGTTTAAATTGCCTGTTGGGCCCCGCAGGGAAATATAATTTATACTAAAGAATGTAAAGGAAGG